TTGCAGATTTTCCTCACATCTCTGATGTGGAAAAAAGGGGGGTTTTCATTCTGCCAGCTTTTTAGCGCTCCTTTGAGATCATTATTCTGGAGCCCTCTGCAGTAATATCGTTTCTCATGGATTGAAATTCATTGTTTCCAACAAGTTGAAATGACTCTGAAGCTTATGGGAGCACTGGGTGTCATTAACTGGCATAGAGGGAGACAGGCTCTAGGTGGAAGATACATGACTTGATTTTGAAAACGGTGTGAGATTCTGGCCTGCAAAAACAGCTGGAGTTATGAGCTAGAAATTGGGACTTAAAATGTGTGTATTGAAAATACAGAAAAATAAGATAATGTTACCCATAAAGCAGATCATCATTCTTAACACTTTAAGTGAATTAACTTCTGTTTTTTCCTCTAGCTGTATGTGTATAAAAGTATTTTTCTAGTTAGTGTGGTGGCTCATGCCTGCAATCACAGCACTTTGGGAGGCTGAGGCCGGTGGATCCCCTAAGGCCAGGAGTTCAAGACAAGCCTGGCCAATGGTGACACCCCATCTCTACTACAAATACAAAAATAAGAGCCTGGCACGGTGGCTGTGCCTGTAGTACTGGCTACTTGGGAGGCCAAGGCATGAAAATCGCTTGAACCCTGGAGGCAGAAGTTGCAGTGAGCCAAGATTCCACCACTGAACTGCCTGGGTGACAGAGCAAGACTCTGCTCAAAAAAAAAAAAAAAAAAAAAAAAAAAAAAAAAAAAAAAAAGTTATACACACACACAGACACACTTTAAAATGTAGAAATTATATTTTATATTCACCTTTTTTCCCCCTCTGTGAATGAAGAAGTCCAAGACCAGTCACATAGTTACTTCTGTTAAGAGCCCCAAAAGAGGTCATGAATGAATTTGTGGGACTCGTTGATATTTCACAGGGTGAAGTCCTACACAGATGTAGAAGAAAATGTGGCAAGAATAGGATTTTGGAAACTTGCCTAAACTTTCCTAAAACTTTCAGGATTCAAGAGTTAGAAATCATAATCAAAGAGGTGGGAGAATTAAGAGTGAAGTGTCAAACTAAGAAGAGCAGAGCAAATTCCAAGAAAAAAGGCAGAAAAATACTATTTGGTGTTTTAAAGAGGTAGAGCTAGATGAAGACTAATCCTTGAGATACTAAATTGAGGGCGTAATGGCACACACATGCTTGTAATCCCAGCACTTTGGGAGGCCTAGGTGGAAGGATGCCTGGAGCCCAGGAGTTTGAGGCTGCAGTGAGTTATGAGCCACTGCACTCCAGCTTGGGCGAGAGTGAGACCTTGTTTCAAAACAGCAACAACAAGATACGAAATTGAGAAACTCTTACTTGAATATATTATTGTATATTCTGTCCAGCAGTGATGGAATAATAAGGAATGGATTTTCCTTGGTATTTTAAGCAACTGGAAAACTGGACAATAAATGAAATTTGTAATTTGCAGGCACTGGGTAACAGGCAGCACAAGACTGTGGTCACTGAAAGGTGAGAAACAAACCTGCTGAGTTCTATGTTTCCTCCAATTTATTATCTGGAGGTAGTTTTCAGGGTGCAGAGCAGGGATGGGGAACCCAAATTAAAGCCTGGCATCTTACTGAATTGAGAGGACAAGATGGGGACTGGCAGCGAGGGAAGATTGTCATAATTTGTGGGGCAGAGTACCAGAGAGGTGGGAGTTGTACACGGAACTCCAGAGGCGGGTGGAGGATTCTCCTGAAGTCAGGTTGAGTGTTGACCTACACATGCATGAGAGGAGAGCGCCTGAGGCCAGAGAAAGAACCCCACTGGAAAGGAGCAGGCCGAAAGATTCCTGGAACTCACACAGAGCTGGGAATAGTCTGCGTTGCCATTAGCCAGAGTATATACAAAGGCTTCAAAAGGGAATGGTCTTTTGTACTGAGTCTAAATTAGCCCTAAGTTAAAGGGTACTCTGGACCTACTCTAACAATGAAAAAGCAAGTCTTGGAAGATCCAGCCGACTTAAAGAATCTTACCTGTGTGTGAGAACAAAGTCATGGCTATTTAAAGAAATACACAAAACCTAAAACACAAAACTCACAATGTTAAGCTTTCAGTAGTCCTAAATTCAAGCTATTCTCCTGCCTCAGCCTCCCAAGTAGGTAAGATTACAGGTGCATGCCACCACACCTGACTAATATTTTTGTGTTTTTAGTAGAGATGGGGTTTCACTATGTTGGCCAGGCTGGTCTCAAACTCCTGACCTTGTGATCTGCCTGCCTCAGGCTCCCAAAGTGCTGGGATTACAGGTGTGGGCCACTGCGCCTGGCCTGGAGAGACATCTTTAAGGTACTTAAAAAAAAAAAAAAAAGCCTACTGGGGCTGGGTGCAGTGGCCAACACCTGCAATCTCAGCAGTTTGGGAGGCTGAGGTAGGATGATTTCTTGAGTCCAGGAGTTCGAGACCAGCCTGGGTGACATGGCAAAACCCCGCCTCTACAAAGAATACAAAAATCAGCAAGGCATGGTGGCACACCTGTGGTCCCAGCTCCTTTGGAGACCGATATGAGAGGATCGCTTTTAGCCTGGGAAGCAGAGGCTGCAGTGAGGTGTAATTGAGTCACACTGCACTTTAGCCTGGGTGACAGAGTGAGACCCTGTCCAAAAAAAAAAAAAAAAAGGCCTACTGGTACTTGTTGCTGGCAGACCTCCACAAGAAATATTGAAGTTGTTCAGGCAGAAGGAAATGACAAAAGGATTGAGAAGTGCTAGAAATGCTAACTATGGGAGTAAAAATAAGACAACTTTTTTTTTCTTTTTTAATCTCTTTAAAAGATTTTTTTTTTTTTTTTTTTTTTGAGACGGAGTTGCACTCTTGTTACCCAGGCTGGAGTGCAATGGCGCGATCTCGGCTCACCACAACCTCTGCCTCCTGGATTCAGGCAATTCTCCTGCCTGAGCCTCCCAAGTAGCTGGGACTACAGGCATGCGCCATGATGCCCAGCTAATTTTTGTATTTTTAGTAGAGATGGGGTTTCACCTTGTTGACCAGGATGGTCTCGATCTCTTGACCTCGTGATCCACCCACCTTGGCCTCCCAAAGGCCTGGGATTATAGCCGTGAGCCACCATGGCCGGCCCAAAAGATTGTTATATTGAAGGTGGTTGCTAACAGGTACAGGATTTCCCTTTTTGTGTGATGGAAATGTTCTGCAGTTAGTAGTGATGGTAGCACAACATTGTGGATTAAAGAAATAGTAGCTTTAAAAAGATGGTTGTTTAAAGCAAAAATAATAATGCATTATAAGTTTTATAACATGTTTGGAGTAAAAGGTACAACAATAGCACAAAGAATGGAAGGGGATGGGAAGGGTATAAGAAACCTTACGAAGGCTTTATTTATTTATTTATTTTATTTGACAGAGTATCGCTTTGTTGCCCAGGCTGGAGTGTGGTGGCACAATCCCTGCTCACTGCAACCCCTGCCTCCTGGGTTCAGCAATTCTGCCTCAGCCTCCCAAGTAGCTAGGATTTCAGTTATGTGCCACACATCCAGCTCATTTTTGTATTTTTAGTAGAGATGAAGTTTCACCATGTTAGCCCGGCTGGTCTTGACCTCCTGACCTCAGGTGATCCACCTGACCTCAAGTGATCCACCTTCCTCAGCTTCCTAAAGTGCTGGGATTGCAGGCATCAACTGGCAGAAAGCTTAGAAAGGTTCTTAAGCTGTACATGAAGTGGAATTGTCTAATTTACATCTAGAAAATTAAAACATTTCTTCCCCCTTCAAATGTATGGGAGTGCCAATGTAACCATATCCTTGTCCACGTGTGGTATGCGTTTAAAGACATGGCCACCCAGATGTTTTTAAAAACTTGGTTACCCTAGACACCCAGTCCTCACCGTGCTTGAAGGATCCTTTATCTCTGAAATCTTTGAAATTCTATCAGAATCTCTTTGCCTTAAATTTAGCTAAAACATAAAATGTATACATGTATTTTTTTCCTTTCCTTCTCTTCCTACCCCTTTTCTTCACATAGTTTTCTTCAGTAATTCCTTTGGTTACTACTTCAGCTTCACTAGTTCTAGAATGTGGACGTTTTGAAGACACATTTCATGTCTTTCTTACTCTCTAGTGTGTCATGGCTGTAGTATACTAGATGCTCAATGATCAGTAAATTTGTCAAAAAAAAAGAAAATATATATATATATATACTGTTTTCTTTCTATACACAGTATTGGTAAGGTTGATCTGCGTATTTCTATCATTTTTTCTTTCATCTTGTTAATCTATTTTGTGTATTGATTCGAGTCGTAGGATAATTCATTTACTGATTTTTTTTGTTACTAATTGTTGTTTGGTTATATATTTCATCTGCCACTTCTTCTATTGCTGTTTTAAATTTGGTAAATCATGCTTTTCATCTCTGAAAATCTTTTCATCTCAAATCTTTCCTCAGATTATTCTGATTTCATTTTTACAGATGCAAAACTCAAATTCTTTTAAAATAATAAGCACCTTGCATTTTATTATTTTTCTTCAACTTATACCAGATACTGTGAGATTGTCAAGTTTTTAAATCTCTTTTTCAGCTCTAGGGCAATTCAACTTTAATATTAGTGTGTTTAAAACCCCTTAGGACTGGGTAATAAAAGAAAATGGAGTACCCATTTCTTTCTTCAATCCAGCCACTTCAGCACATAATTAAAATGTGGTATTGGTGCTGGACACAGTGGCTCATGCTTGTCATCCCAGCACTTTGGGAGGCTGAGACAGGCAGATCCTATGAGCCCAGAGGTTTGACACCAGCCTGGGAAACATGGTGAAACCTCATCTCTACAAAAAATTAGCCACACGTGGTGGCTTGTGCCTGTGGCCCCAACACTTGGGAAGCTGAGGTGGGAGGACTGCTTGAGCTCAGCATGATGAGGTTGCAGTGAGCTATAATTATACTCCAGCCTGGGTGACAGAGCAGGACCCTGTCTCAAAAATAAATAAATAAAAAAAAAATAAAGGTATCATGAAAATTTTATTTGTATAAAGTTAGGTCTAAAAGTTTTATTTGCAGATATTATCATGGGGGAGTAATCTCTAGACATTTTTGCCTTCCTGGCCTATTTGTAAGGGAGAGAACAGAATCAAGAAAACAAGCAGAGCTTGAATACACATTGCCATTTTTGAAAGGACCAGGAATTCCGAACTTGAAACAATTGGAGTTCTTTCCTTAATTACACTTGGGAGTTTTGCTCTCGGGACCCAGAAATGAATGTGAGTTCCTCTTCCGTAGGAGTCCAGTCTAATACTAGACATACATGGTAATAAGCACAGGCAGTGTGACGGAAATCGGTGGTGTGAAGGTGAAGTGAAGAGACCCAGAATTCATGGTTGATATTTTCCACTGAGGGGCCAGCATGGGTTTTATGCAGAATCGAAGACATTTGAGATTTCATTTTGGGTTAATAGGATACTGTAACCTGGAATGGAAAAAAAAAAAAAAAAAAAAGAAATTACAAAGCAATGCTATGTTCAGGTTGGAAACCTTGAATTTGTGCTGGTGCTAATTATGGTTTTTTTTCTAGTAGTATTTACCGCATTCAGGGGTGGAAAATGAAACTAGTGTATTTACTCAAAATAGGTGATTTGAAGGCAAATGGGACTGAGCAAAGTAGTGTTTTATAATCAGACCCAGTTTTCAGGATAAGACTGCTAGAGACTCATTACTTTTCACAATATAATGTGAAATTAATCATTAAAACCTTAAGTACACATGGGGGTTTTTGGCCAGGTGTGGTGGCTTTTTTCTGTAATCCAAGCGCTTTCAGAGGCTGAGGTGGGTGGATCACTTGAAGTCAGGAGTTCAAGATGAGCCTGGTTACCAACAAGGTGAAACCTCTTCTCTCCTAAAAATATAAAAATTAGCCCAGTGTCTTGGCTCATTGTAATCCTAGCTACTTGGGAGGCTGAGGCAGGAGGATCACTTGAACCCAGGAGACAGAAGTTACAGTGAGCCGAGATCACGCCAGTGCATTCCAGCCTGGGAGCCAGAGCAAGACCCAGTCTCCAAAACAAAACAAAGCCTCACAAACATACATGGTATGTTTCAGCCTGCTGCACTTACTCTCCTTGTCCAAGCTCAAATTGTCCCTTTTTTAGCGTGCGGTGCCACTTGTGCTTGGCCCTTGGGCCTAGTAACAATCCCGTTTATGCTTAGTTTCCTTGTTGTCCAGTGTGACACAGTGTTCTTGGCTTATCTTGCGTATTTCCTGCCCAGCCACTTTTCCAAGAAGCATGTGAATGTTTAAAACAACAAGTTGCAGTGCCCCAGTTGCACCCCAAACCAGCTTAATCAGAATCCCTGGTGGGGATAGGGCCCGGATACAGGCTGGGTCCCCAGAGTGCAGTGGTGGGATATCAGCTCACTGCAACCTCTGCCTCCTGTGTTCAAATGATTCTCTTGCCTCAGCCTCCTGAGTAGCTGGGACTACAGTTGGTGAGCCACCACTCTTAGATAATTTTGTATTTTTAGTAGACACAGGGCTTTGCCATGGTGGCCAGGCTGATCTCCCAACTCCTGAACTCAAGTGATCCGCCTGCCTTGGCCTCCCAAAGTTCTGGGATTACAGGCGTGAACCACCACACCCCTCGAGGATACCGTATTTTTTGAAAAGCATGCCCAGCCTTGGATGCAAACCACTTGAGGAGAGTATGCTGCCTTATCGGGCTCTGTAAACACCTTAATCTCTGCACAAGGCTGGGACTGAGTGGAGTCCTTGGCTAAAGCTCTCATTCCTACATGGTGACCTTTCTTCCTCTCCTGCTTAAAGCTTGTGTCTCAGAATTTTGACCCGAATGCATCTGTGTTGAAAGCCAGGCTTGGTCTGTCATCCCAGGACTCTGTGTCGGTCCATTTCCTTGACTGTATGCTGAGTTGGGGCTCATCTTCGTGCCTCTGGGAAATAAGTTATTTGATAGCTTGCTTAGAGTCTCTCAGTGCTTTCCCTTGCCCTTAGAATGAATACCAAAATATGTGGCCTGCAGTATAGACTGTGCACAGCCTTCAGTGTAGACTGCTCAGGTCCCCTCTTGGTTCCTGGAGTCTGCCATGCTTCCTTCTACCACCAGGCCTTTGCACATGCTGCTGTCTGCTAGGAATGCCTTGCCTCTCCTCATTACTTAGGTCTCCTCCTCTTTCAGGCACCAGCTTGACTGTCTTCCTCGGGGAAACTTCTCTGACCTTGGTACACTAGATCAGCCCCTGTGTGTTGACTTTGTCTCACTAGTAATATTTCTTTATCTTCAGGACTCCTACCAAGGCCCAGAAGTTGCAGTTTTACATTTGTTTGTGTGATCACTTGATACATGTCTCTCTGGAGCCTGAGTCTTTGAGGCTCATGTCCTGTCTCCACCATTTTTAGCTGTGAGACCTTGAACAAATCATTTCATCTCTGGTCCCCAGTTTCTCTTAACTGCAAAACAGTGATGCTACAATACTTTCACCTACCTTGTGAGGTGGGGATGAAGATTAGGGTAACTTGTGTAAAGCATTCAGAACAGAGCTCACTATTAATAGTAGAGCATCTTGGCAGGTATTACTGATGATTACTACAGTGGACCACAGGCTCCATACAGGCTGGGGTCATTTCTGCTTGTTTTAGAGGTGTATGCAGGGTGCTTGGCACATGGATGGCGCTCAGGCAACATTTGTTGGATGAATGAATGAAGTGGAGATACTAAGTAATACCATGTTTATAGAATTGCTTGAGGATATAAAATAATGGAAGTATGTAAGTTCTTGGTAGCATGTCGAGCTCATAGTAGGAGGTCAATAAATGTTCAATGCCCAAATGAGGAAAATGGGGACAATAGTAATACCAGCCTATGAGGTTGTCGTGGGGATCTAAGGTAACCCTGTAGTACTTTGTAGAGTGCCTATCACATAGTAGGTGCTCAGAAAATATTTGTGGAATGAATGAAAGTGAGGATGATGGTAACACCAGCTCCTAGAGTTGCTGCAGGGATGGAAGATAAGGCAGGTTGATAGCTTGTTGTACTGTGGTTGCGCCTGGTGGACACTCTGTTGAGTGAAACGAGAGGAGCTGCTGTGAGCTTCTTTGTCTTGGGGCTGAGAGAATCCTTTTGGGGTGCAGAATGGTATGGCGTGGACACTGGTCCTCTTGAAGGAAGAATGGGCAGCTGACTACTCCTTGCCAAGCCCTGGCCTGGATGAAAAGTTGACTTGTTTCTTTCCCTCTTCCTCCCTAACCTGTTCTTTCTTTCCACTAGAATCCCTGCCCAGAGTCCAGCGCCTCCTTCCTGTCCAGGATCACCTTCTGGTGGTTCACAGGGTAAGGTCGGGCCCCTGAGACCTCAGGGAGGTGGTGGGGAATGAATGAATGAATGAATGAACGAACGAACATGCTGAGCTCCCCGTTTGAGTTCTCTCTCCTTTGCTCTTCTGCAGAGTTGTCTTGAATCTGCCTGTGCTGGCCATGTGGTCTCAGAGACACCAACTCTGTCCTGCAAGTTTATCACCTTGAATATGATAAACACAAGAGCCATGAGCAGCTTAAATCTCTACAGAAGGCTTGGCCTGGGAAAGCCGTACAGTGGACTGCTCTTGCTTTAGCTTCAGATTTGGGTATTTATTTGTTTATCTATTCATTTTTCTTGCCTAGACATCATGTTCAACCTGAAGATTTGGGTTTTTAAAATATTAACTATAGTTATTATTGACACTGTTCCCCTCCCATCACCCGCTCCTTAAAAAATACTGTCTCACCATAGGAAACATGGGTTAAAAAAACACATGTGCAGATTAGTAGTAACGAAACACCCAGAGGCAACCACTGTCACCATTTTAGTACACCTCCTTCTGGTCTTCTCTTCTTCTTGAGATGGAGTCTTACTCTGTCTCCAAGGCTGGAGTGCAGTGGCACGATCTCAGCTCACTAAAACCTCTGTCTCCTGGTTTCAAGCAGTTTTCCTGCTTCAGTCTTCCTGGTAGCTAGGATTACAGGCATGCACCATCATACCTAGCCAATTTTTGTAATTTTAGTAGAGACAGGGTTTTGCCATGTTGGTCAGGCTGATCTTGAACTCCTGACCTCAGGACATCCACCCACATTGGCCTCCCAAAGTGCTGGGATTACAGGTGTGAGCCACCATGCCCAGCCACCTTGTGGTTTTCTTTTTGTAACTCTTTTTCTGCCCATTGTCAACATCTCATTGGGGATTATTTGAAGAATCTTTCACCCTAATATGCATCATCTTTTTGCTTTATTGGAGACAGGCTTTCACTGTGTCACTGAGGCTGGAGTGCCGTGGCACAATCGTAGCTCACTGCAGTCTTGATCTACCACGTTCAGGTGATGCTCTTGCCTCAGCCTCCTGAGTAGCTGAGACTGTAGGCACGCTCCACCATGCCCAAAAGATTTTTGTGTTTTTTGCCAAGATGGGGTTTCACCATGTTGCCCAGGCTGGTCTCCAGCTCTTGAGCTCAAGTGATTCTTCCGCTTCAGCCTCCCAGAGTGCTGGGATTATAGGAATGAGCCACCATGCCCGGTCTCATTCTTCTCTTTATGAACTTTTTACGAACATCTTTTTAAAAGATTCGATATTTTAAATAATTTCTTCAAATTACTATTAAAGAGCGTCACTGGGACAGTTGATGTAATTTGTATATGACTGTGGGACACCAGATGCATGCTAATAACGTTCATTCTTGTTTTGAAAAATTGTGCTCCAGTTACGTAAGAGCATGTTGTCAATTGTAAGGGAAAACCCCTAGTTTTTTTAGGGTGAAGGTATATAGAGCCTACATCTTACCTTTTTTTTTTTTTTTTTTTTTTGAGACAGAGTCTTGTTCTGTTGTCCAGGCTGGAGTGCAGTGGCGTGATCTGCATCCTCTGCCTCCTGAGTTTAAGCAGTTCTCCTGTCTCTAAGTGATTCTCCTGCCTCAGCCTCCTGAGTAGCTGGGATTATAGGCATGCATCACCATACCTGGGTAATTTTTGCATTTTTAGTAGAGATGGGTTTTCACCATATTGACCAGGCCGGCCTCAAACTTCTGACCTTAGGTGATCCACCCACCTCAGCCTTCCAAGGTACTGGGATTACAGGTGTGAGCTACTGTGCTAGGCCTTTAACTGTCTGAATGGTTTAGAAAAAGATGATGTGTTTGCATGCGTGTGTTTGCGTGTGTGAATGGATAGAAACGGAATGTTACTGTAAAGTTGGCAACATATTAATAGTGGTGAGTTGAGTGAATACTTAGTATGATTTGAGTAATTTTTCTATAAGTTCAAAATTATTTTACAACAAAAAATGAAAGTGTTTAACTTTTTATTATAAAAGTGTTCAGTTGGCTGAGTGCAGTGGCTCACACCTGTAATGTTAGCACTTCAGGGGGCTGAGGTGGGTGGAGTACCAGCGGTCACGAGTTTGAGACCAGCCTGGCCCATGTGGTAAAACCATGTCTCCACTAAAAATACAAAACTTAGCCAGGTATGGTGGTAGGTACCTGTAATCCCAGCTACTTGGGAGGTTGAGTCAGGAGAATTGCTTGAAACCAGGAGGCAGGAATTACCGTGAGCCGAGATTGCGCCACTGTACTCCAGCCTGGCTAGAGTCACGTAGAAAGACTAATATAATAAAACTCAATAAGCTTACCACCCAGATTTGACGATTGCTAATGCTTTGTCATGTCCGCCTTTTTTCCCCCCCTCAACCTGCAACCTGTTTTTTTGGGTGTCTGGCTCTGGCTCTGTTGCCCAGGCTGGAGTGCAATGACATGATCATGGCTACAGCCTTGAGCATTCCTCCCACCTCAGCCTCCTGAGTAGCTGGGACTACAGGTGTGAACCATGATGACTGGGTAATATTTTTTATTTTTACTTTTTGTGTCACCCAATGTTGCCCAGGCTGGTCTTGAACTCCTGAGCTCACCAAGTCCTCCCACCTTCGCCTCCTGAAATGCTAGGATTACAGGCATGAGCTACTGGTCCTGGCCCATGTTAGCGTTTTTTAATGTAAAATTTTAAAAAGTTGGCGGAGCATGGTGGCTCATGCCTATAATCCCAACACTTTGTAAGGCCAAGGTGGGAGGATTGCTTGAGCCCAGGAGCTCAAGATCAGCTTGGGCAACAGAGGGAGACTCTGGCTCACACCTGAGGTCGCAGCTACTCAGGAGGCTGAGGTGGGAGGATCACTCTAGGCCAGGAGCTGGAGGCTGCAGGGAGCCATGATTGTGCCACTGTACTCCATCCTGGGTGACACAGTGAGACCCTGTCACCAAATAAATAAAGGAATGCGGCTCAGCATGGTGGCTTATGCCTGTAATGCCAGCATTTTGGGAGGTCGAGGGGGAGAGACTGCCTGAGCTTAGGAGTTTGAGACCAGCCTGGGCAACATGGTGAGACCCCGTCTCTACTAAAATACAAAAACTTAGCCAGGTGTGATGGCGTGTACCTGTAGTCCGAGACTTGGCAGGCTGAGGCAGGATAAATGCTCAAACACAGGAGGCAGAGGTTGCAGTGTGCTAATAACACAGTACTGCACTCCAACCTGAGTGACAGAGTGAGACTCCATCTCAAAAAAACAAAAAAAAATAAAAGAATGAATGATTAAAAAAAAAAAGTGAATTAGAGACTTCTTTATATTTTCCTCCTAAATCATCTTTTTTTACCTAAATCTTTTGTATACACCCACCCAAAAAGCCATTTTTCCTTTATGACCCAACAGAATGAGCTGTAATAACTTTGTAATAATGTGCAAATGTTACCAAAAGTAATGGTAACAAAAGCCAAAAAAGATAAGTGGGATCTAATTAAACTTAAGAGCTTCTGCACAGCAAAGAAACAATCATTAGAGTGAACCAGCAACCAACAGAATGGGAAACAAATTTTGCAATCTACCCATCTGACAAATAGCTAATACCCAGAATCTAGGAAGAAATTAAACAAATTTACAAGAAAAAAACCCTATCAAAAAGTGGACAAAGCATATGAACAGACACTTCTCAAAAGAAGACATTTATGCAGCCAACAAACATGAAAAAAAGCTCATCATCACTGGTTTGCAAATCAAAATCACATTGAGATACCATCTGATGCTAGTTAGAATGGTACATACACAGAACGTGCAGGTTATTAAATAATAAATGATTAAAAAATCAGGAGACAATAGATGCTGGAGAGGATGTGGAGAAATAGGAATGCATTTACACTGTTGGCAGGAATGCAAATTAGTTCAGCCACTATGGAAGACAGTGTGGCAATTCCTCAAGAAACAGAACTAGAAATACCATTTGACCCAGCTATCCCATTACTGAGTATATACCCAAAGGATTATAAATCATTCTGTTATAAAGACACATGCACACATATCATTACCGTGGTACTGTTTACAATAGCAAAGACTTGGAACCAATCTAAAGAACCATCAGTGATACACTGGATAAAGAAAACGTGGCACATATACACCATGGAATACTATGCAGCCGTAAGAAAGGATGAGTTCATGTCCTTTGCAGGGACATGAATGAAACTGGAAACCATCATAATCAGAAAACTGACATGAGAACAGAAAACCAAACACTGCATGTTCTCACTCATAAGTGGGTGTTGTTGAACAGTAAGAACACAGACACAGGGAGGGGAACGTCACACACCAAGGCCTGTCGGGAGGAGTTGGGGGATAAGGGAGGGAAAGCATGGGGTGGAGGGATTGGGGAGGGATAACATTAGGAAAAATACCTCATGCAGATGACAGGGGGATGGATGCAGCAAACCACCGTAGCACATGGTGGTTTGTAACAGACCTGCACGTTCTGTGTATGTACCCCAGAACTTAGTATAATTTTTAATAATAAGTCAGATGCAGCTCTGTTATGCTGCCCAGGTGGTTCTCAAACTCCTGGTCTCAGGCAACCTAAAACCCCCAAGTAGCTGGAACTATAGATGTGTATCAGCACACCCAGCTATTCTACAATTTTTAATATTTTAGTCTCACTACAGAACCAATAATACGAGTAGAGGAACAGTCTCTCCTACCACGTATATAATACCCAAATAATAAATGTCCAAGAAAAACAGCTATGTGCTATTTGCTGTACAGTTTTTCAACTAAAAGGCGCCAGGGAGATTCCATGATTACCACAAGTAATTTGATCCGCTGAAGATTTATACTGGCAAAAATACAGAGGTTACACTAGTATGATTTGAAAGTCAAAGTATTAATATTTATCTAATTAAACCTTAACCAAATTTCGTATTTTCTCTATTGCAGAAAGCATATCCTAATGTGATTTTTCTGTTATGTTTCAGTTCATTTTTGTTTAGCCCTGACCCTGTCACAGCACTTATCAATCTTTTGTTAGTTACCAACGTTAAATAAATTTTTTTAATCAACTAGCCATATGTCTATGGTGTTCTCTGACCAACTTTCCATAACCATCATAAAACAATAATAGTTAAGCCACTGCTAAAATTTAAAAGTAAATACTATGCAAAAGTTGACTGAGAAAATTTTACGAGACCACTTTACCTTGGTAGTAAGTCAAGTCTTCATCATCTGGTTTAGGGGATGAATCCACACACAGTTCGTGGAAAATGTTCTAGAGCAAAAATATACAATAAAAATGAGGAAGCTGATTTTTTTCTTACAAATTTTTTAACTGCCAGTTCATATTCAGCATCCCCCTCCAAAAAACAAAAACACAATCTGGGACAAGGTCAGCCAACTGTATATTAAATAACATCTCTTGATACAATTGAAATATGGCGTCTGTTCTAAAAATGGATTTTGGTTACCTATTCCTGCCTCCAGCCGTCTAAATCTATAAAATATTCAATCAAAACTGACCTTGAGCTCCATAACAGATAGCAACAGCCAATATATTGGCAGAGCTTAACAAATAATTTACCCTCAGAAATTATCTGTCCTGAAGCAGAACATGAAACTCAATTAATGGATGACGTAACTTTTGTCCCCTAAACTGGAAGGAACCTTATGACCTAAACAAGATAGGTAGATCCACTGTCTCTCGTCCATTGTCTATTTCTTTTTTTTTTTTTTTTTTTTTTTTTTTGAGACGGAGTTTCGCTCTTGTTACCCAGGCTGGAGTGCAATGGCGCGATCTCGGCTCACCGCAACCTCCGCCTCCTGGGTTCAGACAATTCTCCTGCCTCAGCCTCCTGAGTAGCTGGGATTACAGGCACGTGCCACCATGCCCAGCTGATTTTTTTTGTGTTTTTAGTAGAGACGGGGTTTCACCACGTTGACCAGGATGGTCTCGATCTCTTGACCTCGTGATCCACCCGCCTCGGCCTCCCAAAGTGCTGGGATTACAGGCTTGAGCCACCGTGCCCGGCCGTCCATTGTCTATTTCTGGTTAAAAGACTAATCTGTGTCACTTAAAAATGGCAGTCTTGATTCCTCAGCATGAAAACCACTTAAGAAGGTCCCACTGCTTTCCTTTGTCCCAAAAGAGTACGGAGAATCCCCTGCTATATTTGAAATGTGTGAGAGCTAAATGTACAAAAGTCTAATAAGGTGTATTTTCTTACTGAGGATACTCTTCCCAGGAAGATTAAAACATTAACAATTATAAAAATCCAATTATTTTCACTCTATAGGTCCTACCTTATTCAGGTCCACAAACTAGTAAGCCCTTAAAAACCTTCATAGGCACTCAGATAGCTGGAAAAACAGTCCTGGCAGTTGTACCTCTATTTCCCTAGGTACTCTCTTAAGTATCTTTCGTCCTATGGGTTCCCACTTCCAGATTCCACTTATGTAGGGCTCCGTGGCAGTTTCCAATCTTCAAATCTTCAGTCTTTGAAAGCACTGAAAGGATGGCCTCAAATGACCAGGAGTGGGAACACTCTAGATTCCTGCTCCTGAGTAACAACCTAACTGGAGTCTCTACTATCTACCAGCACAGACACACCTCTAACTCCCCAGCTGAGCTTGATGACTGATTTGACAGCCAGTGATGCCCCTGACCCAGCCTACATGGATATGGGAAGGACATGAGTGAACTGGGAAAAGAGGTAGAGATGAGGAGACACCTGCCCTGGGCCACAGATCTATGTCGTTCATATCAAAAGAGAAAACATTGAATTGCAACAGTCTTCATAGGAAAGAATAAACTTTTATATTTCATAATCAATCAGTGCAGTATTCTTAGAAGATGACAATTTTGGGCCGGGCGCAGTGGCTCAAGCCTGTAATCCCAGCACTTTGGGAGGCCGAGGCGGGTGGACCACGAGGTCGAGAGATCGAGACCATCCTGGTCAACATGGTAAAACCCCGTCTCTACTAAAAATACAAAAAATTAGCTGGGCATGGTGGTGCGTGCCTGTAATCCCAGCTACTCAGGAGGCTGAGGCAGGAGAATTGTCTGAACCCAGGAGGTGGAAGTTGGAGTGAGCCGAGATCGCGCCATTGCACTCCAGCCTGGGTAACAAGAGCGAAACTCCGTCTCAAAAAAAAAAAGAAAATGACAATTTTGGTATTCACAGAATAAATTTTATAATATGACTGCTTCTAAAATTAGCTGTTTGGTATGTTGTCTTACTCTGTAAACGACTTTTATAAAACAGCTATCATATCAATGAAACTTCTTTCTCTGAGGCCTGACAGTTATGAAGAGAAACTAGCTGCTGTGGTTTACCCCAATTCCAGCACTCCCTCCTGCCTCCAGTACTCTCCACAGCAATACCCACTTTTGCTAGACTGGGCATATGCCCAAGGAACTGGAAGTGAGGTGTCTGAAGCTTCCTTGGTTTTAACTCCAAAGTCCCCCAACACACTTTTTTTCTTCCCCGCTCCTTGCCCTTTCACAATCCATCTTTGCAAAAGTAATCTTTAGATCTGTCATCCTGATGCTTCTCTTCCTAACTGCTTTTTAGGGATAATTGCCACCACATTTTTCATCTTTATTCAGCAGTAGTATACACCAATAATTTCTGTTTTCATCTCATTCTGCTTCCTCTGTGTCTAGAATCCTACATCAGAAATAAAAGGAGATTAATGACTTCCCTTGATTCTGTTATTTTTTTAAATTGCTATCCAATGGTTCTTTTTCAGATTTCTCTAAAGGAAGGCTATTTCTTTGTTATTCAGAGCTGTGTCCAAGGAACAGCACCAACACCACCAGAAGGGCCGAATCCCACAGGTGCTGAAGGACAATGTCCATTTTCCAGAAGCTCTTCAACTAATTCATGAAAATTTGGATGCCCTGCTCTACACTAATGTGCTTCCACATTTACCTTAATTACCCATCTGGAACTTAGCCTCAATTTCTTCCCTATTAAGTCCCTGAATTTAATTCTGCATTATAAGCCATAGTGTTTCTAATAAACTTTTAATCAGGCTATACCTTCTCTAACTTCCTCTCCATAAATCACATGACACTATTCAATTACGTTACTTTGGCCTATATGATACTATCCGATGAAGTTATAACATTTTCTATAAAACTAAATTATGGCCATACATGGCTGACCATTTAGGGTGATATTCATCTGTGGTAGATAAAACAGGTCTGTGTTGTGAGGTACCTCAATTTTTAATGCCTCTCCAATAGTGAGAATGACAGCAAGAGCAGGAAGATGATACTCTAATTCTCTTGACATATTTTGGCGCTGGAAGCTGATGTTACCTTCTTTCCTATTTCTGTCACCTGCTCTTCCCTCTACAAATCAATTTGACTTTACTACCCTCCTTTACATACACCACATACTATTTCTTCATTTATTCCATGTACACTCTGCCCCCCTCATTCTTTCTCTTTCATTTCCTCTTCCCTGTTTCCTGACTTGCCTCAGATCTTGAGAGTATCTTAAAATGGGAACTAATAATTCAGCTCCTTTAGTGGTACTCTAATAGACTCAACTGCTGACCCCTGATTAGATACACAACTTATCACCATTTTACTTCTCTTTTACTTATTGTATATTTAATATAACACTTTCTTTAGCTATTTGAATATATTAGTGCTCATATTTTTTAAAAATTCCATCAAATGCCTTATTAAAATAGTATTCTTACCTTTTTATGACTATACTGGTCTTGTTTTGTTTCCATTGGAAGGTCTAGGTTAAAGGCTCTGACACTTTGTTGGGGACACACTGTTGAGGCAATATCAAGCATGAGTTTCTGTTTAAAAAATTATGAGTCAAAGACTTTCTTATCAATTTTCTTTCTTTTTTTGAAAGAGGGCCTCACTCTGTCACCAAGGGCTGGAATGTATTGGCATGATTATGGCTCACTGCAATCTCAACCTCCCAACCTCAAGCAATCTTCCCACCTCAACTTCCTGAGCAGCTGGAACTTCAGCTAGGCTACTTTATTATTTTTGTAGAGACAAGGTCTCACTATATTGCCCAGGCTGGTCTCAAACTCATGTTGGTTTTTTGTTATTTGTCTTTTTTTCTTTTTTTTTTGGGGGGGGGGGTGTTGTGGGAACAGAGTCTCACTCTGTCACCAGGCTGGAATGCAGTGGCATGGTCTCAGCCCACTGCAACCTCTGCTTCCTCGGTTCAAGCAATTCTCCAGCCTCAGCCTCCTGAGTAACTGGGACTACAGGTAATACCCCATCACACCCAGCTGATTTTTTTTTTTTTTTTAGTAGAGACAGGGTTTCACCATGTTGGCCAGGATGCTCTTGACCTCTTGATCCACCCACCTCAGCCTCCCAAAATGCTGTGATTACAGGCGTAAGCCACCGCGCCCAGCCCAAACTCCTGGTCTTAAGTAATCCTTTCATTTCTGCCTGCCAAAGTGTTGAGATAACCAGTGTGCACCACCACACTCGGAACTAACCAATTTACTTAAATAAATCTCAGTTTACCCAAGCTTGGTGGCTCACTCTTAGAATCCCAGCCCTTTGCAAAAGCAAGGTAGGTGGATTGCTTGAGCTTGGAGTTAGATGAGCTTGGGCAACATAATGAGAACCTGTATCTACAAAAACAAACAAAAAAACGTGAGTTAGGCATTGTGGTATGTGCCTGTAGTCCCAGCTACTTGGGAGGCTGATGTGGGAGGATACTTGAGCCTGCAAGGTGGAGACTGTAGCGAGCCAAGATCATGCCACTGCACTCCAGCCTAGGCAACAGAGCAGGACTCTGTCCCCAAAATTTCAATGTAGTATTTTAAAACTAATTTGGCGTAAAAAATAAGAGAAGCATGTACTGAAAACCAAAGCATTCCAGTAGAGGATGTCATCTACACTTTCTAGAGCAGGCTGAGCTGTTACCTTCGTATGTCCATTGGCTTATTATCCAAGCATGGCAGCCCAAAGGAAACATATTCACAAGACAGAATATTAGCATGTGCCTATTTCAGTCAGGAACTAGCTTCAAAGTACATAACTCTACTTTGCAATCTCCACCAAAAATAAGAATACATTTAAAAAATATATATTCGCAGCCAAGCGCGGTGGCTCACACCTGTAATCCCAGCACTTTGGGAGGCTAAGGCGGGTGTATCACGAGATCAGAGATCGAGACCATTCTGGCCAACATGGTCAAACCCCGTCTCCACTAAAAATGCAAACATTAGCTAAGCATGGTGGCAAACACCTGTAATTTCAGCTACTAGGGAGTCTAAGGCAGGAGAATCGCTTGAACCCTGGAGGCGGAGGTTGTGGTGAGCTGAGATCATGCCACTGCACTCCAGCCTGGGTGATGGAGTGAGACTCATCCTCAAAAAAAAGGCTTCAAAGGCACTCAGATATCCAAGCAGAGAGAGTGCTGGAAAAATCTATTTCCCTAAGTACTATCTAAATATCTTCCTATGGGCTTCCAGATTCTACTTGTGCAGGGCTCCATGGCAGTCTCCAATCTTTAAATCTTCAATCTATGAAAGCACAGATTCCTGAAAGGATGACCTCAGATGACCAGCAGTAGCTCTCTACATCCCTGCTCCTGAATAACAAGCTAACTGGAGTCTCCATCAACTGCCCCAGCAGTTCCAGTTACCCAACGGAACTTCATGACTGATTGGCCAGTCAGTCATGCCCCTGACCCAGCCTACATGAATATTGGCAGGCCATCAGTGAATTATGAAAGGCAGCAGAGGTGAGAAGGCACCTGCCCTGGGCTACAGATCTATGCAGTTCAGGAATCTCCAGCCCCTAGTACTCAAGAAGCTCTAAGCCACCCCTCTGTAAGTCAGAATGGAAGCACATGACACCACATTTCTATCTGCTGTAGAAACTCCTCCCCATGTCTCAAAATGCTTTAGCATCTTTCAGTAAAAATCTTCAAGTTTGTCAGTTATTGATTTAAAAAAAAAGGCAGCAACGTGTTTAAAGCTCCCTTCAACTCTCTATTTTAATGTGCCTTTGTAAATTCCAACATCTTGTTTTCTTCTTCTTTGTAATTTATCTTTATTAAACTTGTCATAAACTCCAATATTCCGATCTCTTACTGAAGAATCCATATTCCTATCCAATCCAGTGTTGTTTCTTCAAACCTGGCCTTTCCCTGCTCATTCCATTCTTAGCCGCTTCCATTGGGTTTACCAGTTAATTTCATTCTCATTCTATCCACTGGGTGCACCAGACTCACTCCCCTTTGTATCGTCGTCGTCGTCATTATCTGAGACAGAGTCTCACTCTATCACCAGGCTAGAGGGCAATGGCATGATCTCAGCTCACTGCAATCTCTGCCTCATGTGTTCAAGCTCCTGCCTCAGCCTCCCAAGAGGCTGGGACTACAGGCACCCACCACCGTGCCCAACTAGTTTGTTTTTTATTTTTAGTAGACTGATTTTCACCATTTGCGCCAGGATGGCCTGGATCTCTTGACCCCATAATCTGCCTGCCTCAGCCTCTCAAAGTGCTGGGACTACAGGTGTTGGCCACCATGGCATGACTGTAATCCCAGCTATTTTGGAGGCTGAGGCAGGAGAATCACTAGAACCAAGGAAGCAGAGGTTGCAGTGAGCCAAGACTGCACCACTGCACTCAAGCCTGGGCAAGAGAGCAAGACTGTCAACAACAACAAAATGCCCATAAAATAAAAGAAGGGTGAGTACTGGGCTTTAAAATGAGTTTAAATCTCATTTCTGCCACTTCCTATGTACAAAAAGAAAACTATCCTAATCTATTCCAGTCTCAGGTTCTCTATCTAGAGAAACACTTGACTAGAATGTTTAACACAGGTTGAAGTACTAGAGGTTATTTTAATTAGTCCTATGATTCCTTAAAATTCTGAAATTCTTCATGCTTTTGATTGTCTATAAGAAAATTGGGGATACATAGCCAGCAGGATTTGAAAAAATAATAGAACAAAAGAAACACCAAAAGCAGAGAAGATCACTTTAAAACATCAAGAGAAGGTTATGGAAATGTCATGGAAAAAGAAAAAAAGACTGAAGAAAAGTATTGTGGAAGTAGGCAGAAATACTAGCCTAAAGGGAAAACCAAACTTCCAAACTAGGAAGTCAAATAATTTCTAAGACTTGTCTAATCTTGCTTTTGTAAGATTTACAATTCTATGGCCAAACCTTAACAATGCCCTAAAGCCTCTGATGGTAAAGATAAGATATTGGTTACCACTGAAACTGTCAAATTTATTAGGACAATCACTTGGACCAACCTCATTTCTAACAATAACCTTAAATGAGAGTTAACATATAACTAGATTTGACTGTATTCATTAATCTGATTCTAACATATTATTTTGATCCAATTGCTGCACAGATCTTTATCCATCTATGCTGAGGAACAAAATAAAGATTTGGAAGCCAGGCAGGCTGATGGTTTCACTGTGAGTCAGCTACTTTATTAACTATGGGATCATTAGCCAATTAATCAACCTCTCTAAACCACAGTTGCCTATTTAATAAAGAGTAGGTTATAAGAACACAGATGTTGTGATGGATTTATGAGAAAATGCATAGCACGTAATAATGTGGTTAGCCCAGAATACAACACTCAACAGATTCTAGTTTATTCCATCTGTATTTCCTTAGTTAATATAATTTTTTAAATCTGAAAAATCCTACCTGACTGCAGATTCATCAGAACTCCCAGAATCTATTAAAGGAAAAGGTGAAATGCATTGTAAATCAATAATAAATATACAGAATATTAAAAACATAAGAAGGCACCGTCATGCATGCCTGCAATCTCAACTGCTTGGGAGACTGAGGCAGGAGGACCACTTGAGAAACCCAGAAGTTTGAGACCAGTTTGGGAAACATAGCAAGACTCTACTTTCATAAAACCCATTATGCGGCCGGGCGCAGTGGCTCAAGCCTGTAATCCCAGAACTTTTGGGAGGCTGAGGCGGGTGGGATCACGAGGTCGAGAGATCGAGACCATCCTGGTCAACATGGTGAAACCCCGTCTCTACTAAAAATACAAAAAATTAGCTGGGCATGGTGGTGCGTGCCTGTAATCCCAGCTACTCAGGAGGCTGAGGCAGGAGAATTGCCTGAACCCGGGAGGCGGAGGTTGCGGTGAGCCGAGATTGCGCCATTGCACTCCAGCCTGGGTAACAAGAGCGGAACTCCGTCTCAAAAAAAAAACAAACAAAAAAAAAAACAAAAAAAAAAAACAAGGCCGGGCGCGGTGGCTCAAGCCTGTAATCCCAGCACTTTGGGAGGCCGAGGCGGTTGGATCACGAGGTCAAGAGATCAAGACCATCCCGGTCAACATGGTGAAACCCCGTCTCTACTAAAAATACAAAAAATTAGCTGGGCATGGTGGCACGTACCTGTAATCCCAGCTACTCAGGAGGCTGAGGCAGGAGAATTGCCTGAACCCGGGAGGCGGAGGTTGCAGTGAGCCGAGATCGCGCTATTGCACTCCAGCCTGGGTAACAAGACCGAAACTCCATCTCAAAAAAAGAAAAAAAAACTTATGCACCCTTGTGTGCATGTTTTAGACCATTGTTCTTTAAAGTATAGGACTGATGCTTTCTTCCAAAGCATTCCTTTGGGAGCATACCTGAGATCTTATTAGAATTATTATAAATTATACCTACTGGTATGTGATTAGTGCAGTAAGAATTCTTACTGTCCTTACTTTGTATTTATTAAATGCAAAGAATGCATTTATCAAAATTTGGTATCTACAAGTGAACTGCAGTATACGAGTCATCTAAGACAAACCATATGAGACTAAAAATGGTATTGTTATCAGGTGTGATGGCTTACCAGTGTCAAACAGCATGATTTCTGAACCAACATATGAAGGACAGTTAAAACAGTATACAGTAGTTCCCTTATCCACGACATGTGTGTAAAAGACAGACTTGCCATGTTTTTCTCTGCTCCCACACCACAGAAACAATCATCAACAAAGAAGGCTTCCATGACCAAACGTGTAAGAGAGGTTTTCCCTACCAACAAACAAGCAATCATTTCTGCAGACAACACAAGCTGGGTGTCCTCTAACTCACTTCTCATTCTCTGTCTAAAGATAGCATCTGATTCCACAGATAAAGGGCTCAGTCCCATGAGACTGCCTCCCTACATCAGCCCTAAGTCTGAAACTCCAGAACTTCTGACCAACCAGCTTCAATTTGGGATTCAATTGAGGTTCCCAGGACCCCTTCTTTGGGTTAAACTGAATAGCTGGAATGGCTCAAAGTACTCAGAGAAATATTTACCAGTTTGCTATGAATAACATTACAAAAGGTACAGATGAGATGCATAATGAAAGTGTGGGGGAAGTGGGACGAAGATTACATGCCCTCCCAGGACACATCATCCTCCAGGAACCTCAATGTATTCAGCAAACTGGAAGCTTTCTAAGCCCAGTCCCTTTGGGTCTTTATGAAAGCTCCAATACATATGCACCACCGATTAAGTAAATCACTGGTCATTGGTGACTGAAAACCTTCAGGCTTTCTCTTTGCCCCATAGTCTGCAGAGTGAGACAGGAAATCTCAAACTCTAATGGTCTTCATGGTAATGACGAGTTGCCATTCTGAATCTATGTAGGGGCTTCCAGCCTTCCATCATTAGCATACAAAAAGACATCAGTTTGGAATTTCTAACGATTTAAAGAATTGTACACCAAGAAATGAGTTACCGTCCAAACACAGATTTTACAACTGCAGTTTTGATTTCTGTGGTTACAGCTAATAGTCAACTGTATTCCAAAAATATTACATGGAAAACTTCAGGAATAAACATGTCATAAGTTTTAGTATGCCATTCTGAGAAGTGCAGTGAAACATTGAGACTCTCCATCCAGACCAGGATGTGAATTATCTCTTTGTTCGGTACATCCACACTGCATATGCTGTTCACCCATTAGTCATCAACATGGTCTCCTTCTGTTGCCGGCCATCAAAATCATTAAGGCCTGGAGATCCAGGGTCACTCACAGCTCATGATCTTTTTTCTGACTTAGATTCAGGGGGGTGCATAGTGGCCTAACACTGCATTACAATGCCTACCTCATTCACCTCACTGCATCTCATTACACAGGCATTGTATCACTTCACATAATCACAGGAAAAATGGTGAGAACCACAACAATATATTTTATTATGAGTTATAGTTGTTAATTTCTTACTGTGCCTAATTTATAAAGTAAATGCTATCACAGATATATATGTGTAGAAAAAACGGTATGCGATTCAGTACTATTTGTGGTTTCAGGCATTTACTGGGAGTCGTGAAATCTCTCTCCTACATTTAAGGGGGAACTACTTCACTTATTTTGTTGAACACAACACAGCCTCCCTACCTCTGCAGTTAAAACTGTTCAGGTTAGGATAAAATGACTTATCACCAGGAGCCAGCAAAACATAAGAATCAGACCAGAAACAAGGATCCTTGCAAAAACTTTCCAGCTGCCAGTGGAGAAGAACTCAATAGATATCAATGTGTTACTCTGGCTAATACTCTTCTGGGGAAGGTGGTGGGTGGTTTACTTAGTTACAGCTATATGCTCAGCTCTACGTATAACAAGGCCCAAATTCACCTGCCATTTTACCTCCCACAGAAAGAACCACTGGAAAGATCACTCCTTTAGGAGCTTACCTAGTCCGAATCACACCTCACATTCAGCGAGAAGCTTAAGAAACACTGGGGAGGTATGGCAGGCTGTCAGGCAGTACTATCTGATGGGAAAAATACATAGAAAGAAAATATCAGCCGGGCGCGGTGGCTCAAGCCTGTAATCCCAGCACTTTGGGAGGCCGAGGTGGGTGGATCACAAGGTCGAGAGATCAAGACCATCCTGGTCAACATGGTGAAACCCCGTCTCTACTAAAAGTGCAAAAAATTAGCTGGGCATGGTGGCACGTGCCTGTAATCCCAGCTACTCAGGAGGCTGAGGCAGGAGAATTGCCTGAGCCCAGGAGGCGGAGGTTGCGGTGAGCCGAGATCGCGCCATTGCACTCCAGCCTGGGTAACAAGGGCGAAACTCCGTCTCAAAAAAAAAAAAAAAGAAAGAAAATATCAATGCCTTCTTGCTACCAGAATGTGCCAATGCTTTCCCCCCTCCATAGGAGAAAAAGAAAATTATTTTTTAACCTCATATAAAGCAAAATTGTGTGATTTCTTTGCCATCCCTCATGACAAAGAATCTAGTCATAGGTGAGTCATGTCATCATAATACAGATTGTTTTCAAACTCATCCCTGTAGGGCTAATGGCCCACAGGGTCTTAGGGTGTCCCTTATGCTGTGCTGAAGCACAGGAACTGAGAAATAGAGACAGGACACAGAAGTACAAGGAAAATGCAGCTGGGCTTGGGGGGCCACACCACCTATCAGTGGAGTCAGGTGAGGCCCCAAATGTCCAGAAGCATGAGCATTTATTGTGTATAGGTTAGGAGGCAGGGCAGTGAGTGAAGTCATCTTTAAGGATAGTGATAGGGTCATGAGCAATAAACAAGGGGTCCACCCCCATTAGGTCACCTAGGCTGGGAGGTGGACAGTGCACAACAAGGGGTCCATTCCCATTAGGTCATTGAGGCAAGGGCCACGTGCAATAAGGGGTCCACCCCCGTATGTCACTGAGGCATGGAGGTGGGCCATGTGCAGTGAAGAGGGTGCAGTGTGCAATACCTCTATCTATGGGCAAGCTACTAAGAAGATTTATAGGAGGATGCTTTAAGTCACATAGCAGTGACAGAGCTGTCAGGGTCTACACTACCTGCTGGCAGCTTCCAATGAGTTCTATAGGGGAATGGTTTTTGAGCAGCACAGTATCAAGAGCTGATAAAGTCCACAGTCACCAAGGTGCAACTGTCGGTCTGACGGCAGCCTTCCACAAGAACTGAAGCAAGGTCCTACAACTCTCTTGTCCCGGGCCTGCCATACAGTGGGTATTTTTATGATATTGAATGCTGCCACCAAGGCCATGGATTTCTGTTCTGGTGTAATTGTTCTTCCCTTAAATCATGCTCTGCACTGCGTCTGCTCTAGACATTCTTCCGATTATAAGCTCTTATTCCTTAATTCATGCTCTGTACTGTGTCTACTCTAGGCATTCCTGCAATTATAAACTAAGATATAGGATTCTATATATATATGGAAATAACTGAGTGGTAAGATATTCTTTAGGCACTCATTCTATGAACTAACATTATATAGAGAGGATTGTATAAAGGGAAATAACTGAGTAGTAACACTATAAATGAGATATTCTCCAAGCCCTAATTCTATCAATTAATACATGATTATATAAAGGATTATATAAAAGGAAATAACTGAATAGTAACACTATAAACTGAGATATTCTCTAGGTCTTAATTGTGCTAGGATTCTGCTTAGCTCTCCTTCCATGGTACCTATATGGGGGGTTACCCACAATCCCTCAAAGGAAAAGGATCAGTGAGGCGCATGGGTATTTATCTATAGCATTCACTGCCTGGTCTTATTTCCAACTGAAAGTATGTATGGAAGACTCTGTGATTCCAGTTTTATAAAGTACAACCTCTTGAACGTGTTCCCTTCCAAGGAACACAGTGTCTATCTGAACCCACCCCATAAACCAAGATGCTCCAGTTTGTGCTGTGTGATAATGCATGGTGTCATTTTCCTCAACTGTTTCCATTATGTGGCAAATATCTAC